CATAATATTTTTAATTAACTGCCTGACGTACATCTGTATTTTTTCTCCTACATTTTTTACCTCTAGTATCAAACATTTAAAATACTATTTTCTGTTGAGTATATAGAAAATTAATCCAGTCTTGATCATGATTAATTAAAATTTGTTTTTATTCATGATAGTCCAGAAAAGTTTCTTTCAACTTTACAACTTACTTACAGTTTCATGAAAAATTACGAGGTGACCTTAAAACTTAAGAAAATGCTTATCAAGCTTCTTGCATGTATGACCTATAAGATTTGGAAGAATGTTCCAGAGAGTAACTCTGGCTCTGTACTATTGAAACCTTGCTTCTTCTCTACTACCCACATGCTTCCAGGCTGTGATGCCTCTGATATTGTGACTACTTTACCCTTGAACCTTTGTGTCACAATGTTAGGTGAGTTTGGCCCAATTGATACTAGGAGTGTTGCTGAAAGCCATTCCTACTCCAGGATAGCTAACAATACCTTACTCACGTGGAAGTGACTGTGAATCACATAAATATGTTTCATTTAAACCAACCTAAATATATCTCCAACTGTTTCCTTTGAATTTCCCAAATTGTCCACACTCAAGTGCTCCCCATCATGAAGGTATCTTAAATTCACAAATTTCCCTAAAATATATGACCATAAGAACACAGTGCTAGCCCTCTCCCCCTTATATGTAATCTACTCATTAACACAAATATTCCCTTATTTGTTCATGCTTTTGCTTTCTCATAAGATAAATTTCTCAGTGCTATGAGTAGCTGTAGGTCTTGAATTTTTTAAATTAAAAGATTTTATTTTTAAAAGCAGTTTGAGGTTTGCAGAGATTGTGCAAAGTATAGAGTTATGCTCTTCCCTGCAGTTTCCCCTATTATTAATATTTTGCATTAGTGAGGTACATTTCTTAAAACTGATGAATCAATATTAATAGATTATTATTAGCTAAAGTCCACAGTTTACAGTGGGGTTCATTCTTTGTCTCCACCATTACAGTATTGCACAGGATGGTGTCACTTTTCTCTAATTATGCCTTATGTTCCACCTATTCACTCCAACCCCTCCCCCTGAATCCCTGGCAAGCTCTTATTTTTTTAACTGTCTTTATAGTTTTACCTTTTCCAGAATGTCATGTAGTTGCAATCCCATTGTATATAGCTTTCTCATTGACTTCTTTCACTTAGCAATATGCATTTTTGTTTTTGCTGTCTTTTTGTGGTTGATAGCTCCTTTTTATTATTGAACAATACTCCATTGTTTATTCATTCACCTATTAAAGGACATCTTGGTTGTTTCCCATTTTTGACAATTATGAATAAAACAGATATGAACAATTTTGTGCTGAGTTTTGTGTGGACATTGGTTTTCAACTCATTGGGGCAAATACCTGAAAGCGAATTAGGTATTGAGATTAGAATCTAGACAGATCATACACATTTTATAATAATTAACTCAAGGTGGATCATAGAGCTCAATGTAAAAACAAAAATTATACAACTTCTAGATTCCAGAGGACAAAATCTAGGTGACTTTGAATTGGGTAATGACTTTTTACATACAGCATAAAAGAAAAATTAAATTGGACATCTCTAAAATTAAAACTTGTATTTTGTGAAAGGCAATTATGCAAAGGAAAATACAAGCCACAGACTAGAAGAATATACTTGCAAAGGATGTATTTGATAATAGACTGTTATCTAAAAATAGAAAGACAAAAAGTAAAAACAATGAAGTAAAAAGTAAAATAAATTTAAAAATAATTTAAAAATCAATAAAATATACAAAGACCTCTTAAAATTCAACAATAAGAAAATAAACAATCCAATTACAAAATAGGAAAAGATCTGAAAGGACATCTCACCAAAGAAGATATACAGATGGTAAATAAACATATGTAAGGATGCTCAACATCATACTTTGAGAATATGGAATTGCAAATTAAAACAATCAGGCTATCACTTGCTACACACCTACTAGGATAGCTAAAATCCAAAGTAATGACAACACTAAATGCGAGTAAGGATGCAGTACTGCAGGAACTTTCATTCATTGGTGATTGGAATGCAAAATGGTATAGCCACTTTGGAAGAGTCTGCAGTTTGTAACAAAGGTAAACATAGTTTATTATATAATCCATCAATTACACTCATAGTTATTTACCCAAATATGTCTTGACTTTTTAATCAGCCCTGCAAGATTCTGCCTCAGGAAATTTCTTCAGCCTGGTTTACTTTGCACGTACTATCTTCAAGACATCATTTCAGCTGTGTTTCTTGGCATCCTCTTCTTACCTGATTAATTTTGGATAGAGTTTCAGATTGTTTATTTTAGTCTTGATTTGGCAACTTCTTAGGACATTACTTCTGGCTATGGCCCATCAGATTAACATTCCACAAACAAGGTCAACATTTGCCATACCCAACCAACTAGACCCTTTGGACTTGCCAGCAAGTTTCATGGTGCTTCTTATTTTTGTCTGTCTGGGAATTGTTATCTTAATCAGTAACTGTTAAAAACCTTAGCAATCTAAGGTTTAGTTTAAGTACCACCTCTCTGTAAAACCTACATTTGCAACTCTAGGGAATATTCACTGTCTAAACTTCTTCAATTTTTACTTATTTCCCCATTTACTCAAAATGTGGTCAAGAAATTTTGGATAAACATTAATTATCAACTGTAATGGCTAATTTTTAGTCTTTTTTAAAATATATTTTATTGATTATGCTTTTACAGTTGTCCCATTTTACCCCCTTCATTCCCCTCCACCCTGCATGCCCTCTCCCACCCACATACCCCCTCTTTAGTTCATGTTCATGTGCCATACATTCTTTAGCTTCTACATTTCCCATACTATTCTTGCCTTCCCCCTGTCTATTTTCTACCTACCATCTATGTTACTTATTCTCTGTACCTTTTCCCCCTCTCTCCTTCTCTCACTCCCCTGTTGCTAACCCTCCATGTGATCTCCATTTCTGTGGTTCTGTTCCTGTTCTAGTTGTTTGTTTAGTTTGTTCTTGGTTTTGTTTTAGGTTCAGTTGTTAATAATTGTGAGTTTGCTGTCATTTTACTATTCATGTTTTTTCTTTATATTCTTTTCTTAGATAAGTCCCTTTAACATTTCATAAAATAAGGACTTGGTGATGATGAACTCCTTTAACTTGACCTTATTTGGGAAGCACTTGATCTGCCCTTCCATTCTAAATGAAAGCTTTGCTGAATAGAGCAATCTTGGATGTAGGTCCTTGCCTTTCATGACTTGGAATATTTCTTTCCAGTCCCTTCTTGCCTGTAAGGTGTCTGTTGAGAAATCATCTGACTGATGGGAACTCCTTTGTAGGTGACTGTCTCCTTTTCTCTTGCTGCTTTTAGGATTCTCTCCTTTATTTTTACCTTGGCCAATGTAATTATGATGTCCCTTGGTGTGTTTCTTCTTGGGTCCAACTTCTTTGAGACTCTGAGCTTCCTGGATTTCCTGGGAATCTATTTTCTTTGCCAGATTGGGGAAGTTCTCCTTCATTATTTGTTTAAATAACTTTTCCACTTGTTACTCTTCCTCTTCCCCTTCTGGTACCCCTATAATTCGGATGTTGGAACATTTAAAGATGTCCTGGAGGTTCCTAAGCCTCTCCTCATTTTTTTGAATTCTTATTCCTTCATTCTTTTCTGTTTGGTTGTTTCTTTCTTCTTTCTGGTCCACTCCATTGATTTGAGTCCCAGTTTTCTTCCCATCACTATTGGTTCCCTGTGCATTTTCCCTCATTTCACTTATTGTATCCTTCATTTTTTCATCTAATTTGGGACCAAATTCAACCAGTTCTGTGAGCATCCTGATCACCAGTGCTTTGACCTGTGCATCTCATAGGTTGGCTATCTCTTGGTTGCTTAGTTATATTTATTCTGAGACTTTGATCTGTTCTTCCATTTGGGCCATTTTTTTTTTGGTCTGGGCACACCTGTTACATTGTAAGGGGCGGAGCCTTAGGTGTTCACCCAGATGGGTCAACCCAGTGGCTGGGTTGTGACGCTGTATGTGGGGCCGGGGTTAGAGAGGGAACAATGGCGCTTACTCTGCTCTCTGCTGGATTTCAGTCTTTTCTGTCACTTTCCTCAAACAAACTAGGCCCTTCTGGTGCTGATTCCCATGTGGGTGGGTTTGTGTATGTTCTAGGACCCTGTGGGTCTCTCCAACAAACTCTCCTGTGAGGCAGGGAATCTCTCCTGGCACCTCAACCCTCACAGGTGTTTTCAATAGGTGTTTTGAGGCTTTATTTCCCCCACTGCAACCCTGGGTTGTGCAGTCTGTCTTGCTCCCCAGTTTCACCTGGTTTATCTGCACACAAATGTGGGACCACTGGGTCTGCCAGCTGCCTTGTGTGCCAAGCCCCTCTACAATCCACCATCTCGCTGGTTTCATCCACCACCACCCTGTGCCCAGGGTCTGCCAGCCGCTGCTTTTTTTCTTGTGGCCCCTCTCTACCCAACCGCCAGACTCCACCCCTCCTACTGGTCTGGATGAATGTGTCTATTTTAACTCCTTGGTTGTCCAACTTCCATACAGTTCAAGTTTCTGTCATTACTGGTTGCTTTTTGTTTCTAAATTTTTGTTGTCCTTATTTTGGTTGTGTGAGGAGGCACAGTATGTCTACCTACACTTCCATCTTGGCCAGAAGTCCCAGAATGAATTTTTAAATGACAATAGTATAGTTATAAACTGGGGAAATAGACACAGAGAGATTAAGGCAGTTAATAAACTAATGGTGACTATAAAATATATAACCAAATAATTAGTATTGTGTTTGTGATAACCTGTGGTATATACTTAAATAGATATAGTATCAAAGTACAGTACCAAGCCCCTAAGATTTATACCCATCATAAACACAAAAACTATGTGCTGGATTGACTTAAACCGAGTTTCCATTAACATGTATGTAAATTATCATCTTTTGTGAATAATTTAGAGTTTAATTTGTGCTTTTACTTGTAATGAAGGTCATCGGACACTATTTATTGGAGTTCATGTGCCCCTGGGAGGAAGGAAAAGCCATCGACGTCATAGGCATCGTGGTCATAAACACAGGAAGAGAGACAGAGAGAGAGATTCGGGATTAGATGATGGAAGGGAGTCACCTTTCTTCGGTAAGAATTGCCTTGTTTTTATTACATTTGTGACTGTAATAATATTGTACTTCTTTGTGCAATCCAGATTAACAGTATACTTCATAGTCATAAAATGGTTTAAACCTTTCTAAAATATGTTGTGTTGGACAGATTGGGAAGAAGGGAGAGAGAAAGCTTAATCTTTATTTTTCTCTTATGCATTTGCTTTGTGAAGGTAAGAACTGTCTTGGATTTGTGATTGAGGAAAATATACTTAAATAGAAATTCTTAGGTGTACAATCTCTTGATAATTAATATAAATAATAGTCATTACTCTAAGTAGTTTGAAAATCCAGAGGGAAATACTTTACAAAGTTCCCACTTACACTATTGCTAATCTATCCAAATTTCATTTTAGGATATAAACTTTCTACTATTTTGAATGTTCTTCCTTTCAAAGTAGGTACAGAATATCTACATATAGTGATATGGCCATTGTTAACAATTTTTCAGAGCCATGAGAGCCTGTGTACATGATGTAAGCAAGAACCAAGCTTTTAGTCCTTGACCTCCCCATCTCCTATGACCTTCTTCACTGCACTCAGCTTACTTACCCATCCCTAATTACTCCACCTCTAAGTTCACTAATGCACTCACCCTACTCTCTGAGCACCACTTCTCTTCTTATTTGCTTGTGCAACTACTTGATCTCTTTACCTTTTTTCTATCCATGTAATAATCTTTATTTATTTTCTTATCCTACTGTGATTTTGTAGCTTGTAATTTTAGTAATACTTTTGCTAATATTCTAAAAATCTTTGGCTCCCTATTACAGTGTTATTTATCTTCACCCCCAGTTTAAAAAAAATGGATACTAATGTTGGGTTTCCTCCATGTCTCTGCTTTCTCCCTGCCCCCCAAGTAGGCATGCTCTATGGGACACAGGCTTGCAACAGGGTGGATTGTAACCATTTGAACTCATGATCTAAGTGGAGCTTCAACACCTCTTCCCACTTCTATTGCATTTCCTTGAATTTTGAAAAAAAAATTTTTAACCTTCCTTGCTATTCTCCAATATACCCCTTTTCACCATCACTTTGCAGATGCTTTGTACCTCAGAAGGAAAATATGTCACCAGAAAGAACTTACTCAACTCTCTCCTCTAAAATATACAGGCCTGTATGTTCACATCTGCAGCTATCCTTTTTCCCCTTTTAATGTAATAAGGGAGTTTTGTTTTCAATTGTGTTTATTTCCTGTTCTCTCCCACCTGGAAATTTAAACAATTTATAGCCTAAATGACCTCTCCCTCTCAACTGGATTATTCTCATCATCCTTCAAGCAGTTTAGAGTCTCCTCTATTTTAAACAGTTCCCAACCTCCCTCAAATCACAATCCCCCACTCATCTGTATTCAGATATGAAGTAATTTAATGGTATGTGAAGTTTGGGGTAACAATTTTACTTGTGATGCCATATAGATATTGCTTTATCCAATAACTGTTTTTGCTAAGTATTGAGGAGAAGTCTGTAGTCTTTGTCTTTTTATTTTGGGAGTTTCTCTTTGGAACTTCAGTGCTTATAGACATTTTTCTGTGTCCTTTTATTTAAGAAAACTTGCTAAGATAGGCCTAATGGTGAGTATATTAAAAGACCTTTTTAATCTGATTACACAGATACTTTTCCACATAGAGAACATTTTTCTCTTTTATCTAATTCTGTTCCATTTACTATGCTCTCTTATCTGTGAATTAATTATCTGCATCCTGGATTTATGATATCTGCTCTTTATCATTTTCCTTTGTATCTTAAAATCACCCTCTCTATATTATTAATTTGATTATCTGCCACACCAGTTTTGCATTTTACTACTTTTATTAGGGATATTGATTTTGCTCTTGTATTTTTAGTTTCCTTATATTTCTTTTTTATCTCATTTTATTTTCTTTACATTTTCATCTGTTCTTTCCTAATTCATTTTTGTTTTCCTTCTTGGTAGAGTCTGTTTTCATAGTCTAGTGAGGATCCCCACAAATTATGGACATTTTATTTTGATCCTGATGTAGATATTTTTCAGAGGTATGGTTTTCCTTTGGTCCATCTAGGTATTTTGACTTTCCATTGACTTGTAATGTTTATAGACTCCCAATTTTTTCTCTTTGTTCATTTTTTATAAGGCAAGGCATATTCATACTAATATGTCCAGCTATTTCCCAAGATTTCTCAGAGAGGAGCTGCCATCAATGTGCTCCTTGTCTCCATCACTGTATAAAGTTATGGGTGTCAAATACTAAATCTCTCTGTTTTGAGAGGCCTATATTATCATTATAACCATCCCACTAGCATCAGTATTAATTATTATCAATAACATTTATAAAATGCTTTATAATAGGAAAAATAATTTCACATGCATAGTTTCCTCTCTTGGGACTTAGCCCTACCTCCTTCCAAAAGACTAATTCTGGAAGATGGATATATGTTCTATTTACTACATATTGTTATGATAACACAAGAAATTTTAAATTATAATTGAGATAAGTGTGACAAAGAGTATTGAGTGCTATGAATTAGGATAACAGATATCCTATTTAATTGTTTGCATATGAATTTTCTTATATGTGTGTTTGTGTATGTGTTTTGCAAGGCTGGTTAGGTAGGCTTGCTCAAGTGTTTATTACATTGAAGTAGACACTGAACAATATATAGGAGAGGAGATGGTGTATGCAGTGACACTAAAGTGGGAAAAGGCATGATAGTTTTAAAAATCTGAAAGACGGCTAATATACTAGAACAGAATAGGGAATAGAGTGGCAGAAAATAAGGCTAATGAGTTAAGTAGGGTTCAGGTCTTACCACAAACATTTATTTATACAAACTGAACTAATGAGCAAGATAAAGACAGACTCACAGATGGAGAGTAAGCTGACAGCTTGGGAGTGGGGCGAGGATGAGGGTGGAGGGATTGAGCAAAAAAGAAAAAAAAGAGAGAAAGAACCTAGCAATCCTACTCCTATATACTTACCCTAGAAATATAAAGACTTATGTTTAACTGAAAAACCCATAGAAGAATACTTACAATAGTTCTATTTATAATTGCCCTAAACTGGAAACAACCTAAATATCCTTCAACAAGTAGATGGATAAGCAAACTGTATGTTTCTACAATGGACTATTCCTCAGCAGTAGAAACAATGAACTACTGATACACTCAGTGACACAGATAAATTTCAAAACCTCAAAGACATTATACTAAATGAATAATGATAATCATCAAAGGTTATGTGTCATATTTTTCTATTTATATGACATTTTGGAAAAGGAAAAGCTGTAAGAAGTGGAGACCAGATCAGTCATTGCTGGAGGTTGGGGAGAGACTTGGGTGTGACTGCAAAGAAATATCACAAGGCAGTTTTTGGTAAATTATATTCAGTGTAGTTTAAGTGAATTTTACCATAGTCTATTCTTTTGGATATTTAAAAATATATATAATATATGATGAGAGATATGTGTGAGAGAGAAATAGAAGTAGTTTTCATGAGTGTTATAAATAATCCAAAATAACATTCACATTTGATTTTATTTTTGATGATATCTATACATTATTTACTATTTTATTTATTCTCTGAAATTTTGCTAGGCCTAATATAATGCTAAATTTAGTTTTAACTCCCATGTTTACTTTAGATGAGTGTGGTAGTGGGGGTAGGGTTGTTGGAATGGTGATGAAGGAGGTAGCCAGTACATTTTGAGCATGAAGTCTTGATAATGCATATTCATGTCTCTGGTTTTCCATAGATACCCCTTCACAGCGGGTACAGTTTATTCTTGGAACTGAAGATGATGATGAGGAGCACATTCCTCATGACCTTTTCACAGAGCTGGATGAGATTTGCTGGCGTGAAGGTGAAGATGCTGAGTGGCGTGAAACAGCCAGGTGAGGATCTTTGTTGAAGGGTAAATGTATACTAAAGAATTTTCATGCTATTAGAAAAACACTTTTCTGCTGCTAGGATTTGGTAAACATCCATGAGTGCTGCTAATTTCCAAAATTGCTCAGCTGGCCTGCACATATCCTATAATGGGATATGGGTCAGAATGAACTCTGAAGGCAGTAATTATAGTAAATAGTGATGCAGAGCCAGCAGCGCTGCAGTCTCTGCAGTTAGAGATAAACAATAGCATCATTTGTGTGTCATCAGGAAAACAATAGAAATCTAAAAGTAATTTATTTCTTTATTTTTGATTGCTGACTTATGCCCAAACTAGTGATATTATATGATAATTTGAGTGGGGGGTTTTTAAAAAAAGGAAGGATAAACATTATAAGAGGATTTAGGTATAGTCCTGGATTTATGTACAATTTGGTGAGGATAAAATATATTTTTTAATGTGTTTCTAGGATATGTATACACTCAAACACAGTGGTTTTTCAAAGTTACTTTCTAAAGATTACTTTTTCTATCATTTGTAATTAATGTTTCTATATTGCTATATAGTTGAATTACTATAAAAATAATAAACTAAATTTTGCACTTACTTTTTATTTATCCTTGCTCATTTATTAAGATTTTGGAGTAATCTATTTTGTGCCAGATGCAATGGATATAGAACAATAACAACAAAAAACTTAGAACTTGCCTTTAATAATCTCACAGTCTAATTTGGAGATTTAGACAAGTAAACAATGTTGTAAATGGTCTATAATAAATTCTGTGATACAGGCAGGCCCAAGGAATTGTGGGCATACCTAGGACTGTCACTCTCTGCTTCTAAAATTTTATTGTGAATACCAATCACATGTAATCTTGTTGAAATGTAGATTAAGTAGGCCTCAGGCACAGTGTCAGATTTTAACAATCTTCCAGGTGGTGTCACACGAATATTTTTGGGTTGAAGACAACATTTTGAGTAGCAAGGATTTAAAACACTAGGGTGAAAAGAAAATAACTTCTTAGGGGGCCTCTAATATGGTGGCAGAGTAGGAGGATAGATCATATACCTTGTCCTGGAATCAGACTGGAAATAAAATTAAAGAAAAGAACAATTATCCAAATCCCACTAACGGCTACCTGAAAAAGAGACTTAACCAGGGATGGCAAAAGACCACCCATAGACTGCTAAAAAGGACTGGGACATCTTAAAGGGTCCAGCCTACTTTACACAGATGGCCAGCTGAGGAGGCAGCACAGCTATAAGAGCTTCCCCATGGGAGGAGAGAAGCTAGGACCACAGACTGGTTTCCCAAACACAGAGAAGCAGTGCCGAGAACAGCCCATCACATAGCAAAACCAGTGATGAAAAGCCACAGAGCCTTTCTCTGCTGTGGAGAGACAAAAACTACTGGAGACTATCCCACCATCTTTTTTTTTCCCTAAACAGTCAAAGCAAGGGGTTTGTGCTCACAGTGAAGAGAAGGCAGTTGGACTAGAGGCACTGGAGGGAAATCTAGAGTGGGAGGCATTGGGGAGAGACTTGGAAGGGTGGCTGTGGAATTTTTCAGGGTGAGATATACATGGGCTCCACAGCAGCCATCTTTCTTGAGAAAAGCTAGCCCTTTCCAGGGGAAAATCATTTACTTTGCCCTGTGGGATTCCATTCCAGCACCCTCTGGAATCCTCTTAGCTCCTTCTTGCACTTTTTTTGTTCTATTTTCAGTTTGACTCTATCTTGGTGTTTGTTTGTTTGTTTGTTTGTTTTTATTTCTTTTCTCCGATCCTGCATCTTAACCCCTGCTAAGGAGACAGCAACATAAATAGACTCAGGGGTATGAGACTGCCTGAAGTATGCAGCCAAGCCATTCACTTTCCTGGGAAACAGACTGTCACTTCCCTCTCACAGGAGAGCCATAGAAATACCCTATGGCATTTGACAAACCCAAAAGCTGGGCTCACAAGGCCTACTAGGGCCCTGCCCTGACAAGTACGGGGGACAAAATCCCAGACAGACTAGTAGCTCAGGGAGAAGAAACATACCCACTATCTTCCCTGAAGTTTGAAAGGCACCTGCCACAGAAGATCCAGGAATCACAGCCCACTGTTTCCATCAGAAGCCTTCTCAGAAATAGTTGGGTCTGCAACTAGCCTAATATTGACAGCAGGCTGGCAGACAGAGAAAGGCAGAGATAGATCCTGTGGTGACATGGGACATTTGCTGACACACCCCTGGATCCAGTGCTGATAAAAGCCAACTTTGCAGAGCAGCTTGGTTAATCCTGGGAACAGCAAAGCCTGGAGGAATCAGCCATAAGCTATGGATTGATTATAGGTTCAATAAGGCTGCCAAGAGCAAGATGTGGACAGCACCTGACATTGGCTTACACCAGACTCAGATGTTAGAGCTGCATCCAAAGGGAGAAATCAGAAGGCAAGGACCAAACTCTGCAGTGACAAATCCATTTTGTTTTTTTCACCATTTTCACTATTTTTCTTTTTTGTAGCCTTTTCATTATTTTTGTATCTACTTTTTCATTTTTCTTCTATTTTTGGTGTTCTATTTTTTCTTTTATACCTCTTATTTTACTCTCACCTTTCATTACTCCACTGTTCCCTTCTTTCCTTGTATTATTTTTGTTAATTTTTCTCTTCCTGGGTTCCTTCTCCCCATTTTCCTCTTTTGATTCATCACTAGTTCTCTTCTCTTTTCTCCTATAATTATCACTTTTCTTTCTTTTGCTCTTCTCATATTCTTTTTCCTTTTCTCTTTTCTCTACTATTCCATTTATCTTACCATTTTTATTATTCTTTGCTCTTTTGTAGTTGATATTGCTGTTGTGGTTGGTGGGTTGCTTGTCTTGTTGTTTTTGTGTTGTTTTGTTTGTTCCGCTAGCACCTAAACAACAGTGTACAAGATGGGGTAGGAGTTGAGCCTCTTAGTTAGCCAACTAGAGGGGAGTTCCCACCAATGAATGGGCCAATAACAATCAGGACCCAAAATACAAGAGAAGAGTCACATAACTCACACAAAGGATATTCCTAGAGCATCCAGATCAGGAAATCAGGGAGTCTGCACCACCGGGTCCTACAGGATTCCTACCACATAAAGCTACTCCACAAGAAAGGGAGTCAAAGCAGATCAATCTAATACTTAGAAGCAAATACAAAGAGGCAATTAAAATGGGGAGAAAAAGAAACAGCCCCCCAGATGAAAGAAAAGGAGGAATCTCCAGAGAAAGAACTAAATGAAATTGAGGCAAGCAATTTTTCAGACAAAGAGTTCAAAATAATGGTTATAAGGATGCTCAAAGAGCTTAGTGAGAACTACAAGAAACTTAGTGGGAACTACATCAGTATGAAAAAGGACATAGAAACTATGAATGAGAACCAGGTAGAAATGAAGAATACACTAGAAGGAATTAAAATCAGGCTAGATGAAGCAGAGGATCAAAGCAGTGAGTTGTAAGACAAGGTAGGAAAAAACACCCAGTCAGATCAACAAAATGAAAAAAAGCTTTACAAAGAATGAGGATAGTTTAAGGAAGCATCAGGACAACACAACATATAACAATATTTGCATCATAGGGATAGCAGAAGGGGAAAACAGGGAGCAAGGGCTAGGAAACTTGTTTGAAAAAAATGACAGAAAACTTCCCTAACTTGGTGAAGGAAAAAATCATGCAAGTTCAGGAAACACAGAAGTTCCCAATGAAGATGAACCCAAAGAAGCCTACTCCAAGACACATCACAATTAAAATGGCAAAATTTGAAGATAAAGAGAGAATTGTAAAGGCAGCAAGGGGGAAACAGCTAGTAACATACAGCGGAGCTCCAATAAGGCTATCAGCTGATTTCTCAACAGAAAAACAATAATCCAGAAGGGACTGGCATGAAATATGCCAAGTAATGACAAGCAAGTATCTACAACCAAGACTACTCTATGCAGCAAGGCTGTCATTTAAAATGGAAGGAAGTATAAAGAGCTTCCCATATTTAAAAAAAATGCTAAAAAAGTATATCTCCACCAAATCAGAGCTCCAAGAGAGTCTAAAGGGACTGCTTTAAATAGAAAGACTAATAGAGAGGGTGGGTGAGAGGGACAGAAGTACTTTGTACTGGTAAAATGGCTATGCATAAGTACCTATCTATAATAACCTTAAATGTAAATGGATTTACATATTTACATAACCTTAAATGTAAATGGATGTAAATATTCCAATCAAAACACATAGAGTAACTGAATGGATAAAAATCATGACCTACTTAGATGCTGTCTACGAGACATCCACCTCAGAACAAAATATCTATATAGGCTGAAAGTGAAGGGATGAAAAAAATATTCCATGAAAATGGATATGAAAAAAAAGCTGGGGTAACAATACTTATATCAGACAAAATAGACTTAAAAACAAAGTCCATAACAACAAACAAAAAAGGTCACTACATAATACTTAGAGTAGTAGTCAACAAGAGGATATAACCCTTCTAAATATATATACACCCAATATAAGAGCACCTAAATATATAAAGAAAATCTGGGAGGATCTTAAGAAAGAAATTGAGAGCAATACAGTCATTGTAGAGGATTTTAACAGCACAATGTCAACAATGGATAGATCTTCCAAATGAAAAATCAATAAGGATATTATGGCATTAAACAATACTTTAGATGAAATGGACTTAATTGATATTAAAGAACATTTCACCCCAAAGAAACAAAATATACATTTTTCTCAAATGCGCATGGAACATTTTTCAAGATACACCACAAAATGAGCCTCAACAAATTCAATAAAATTGAAATCATATCAAGCATCTTCTCACATCACAAGTGCTTGAAACTAGAAACAAACCTCAAGAAAAGACTCAAGAACATGCAAATACATGGAGGCTGAACAACATGTTTTTAAATAATGAATGGGTTAACAATGAGATCAAGGAAGAAATCAAAAAGTATCTGGAAACAAATGAAAATGAGGACACAACAACCCAAAATCTATGG